TGATCCTGGGTCTCCTGATGAAGTTCCCAGCCAGAACATCCTCCCTCAGTCGAAAAAAAGAAAAAAGAAAGAAAAAAACTCTACCATTAGATTTGTTTTGACATTCCTCTGATTTACTTCTACTGTTTTAAGAAATTCAGTTGTTTTACCTCCTTTTCGTTTCTGAGCAAAAGTGTTTCTTTATTTGACAGAAAACAGGAGCCCATCCTGCCAACATGTCCATTTGTGCTTCATTTTACAACCATGAGTAATCCCCCTGCAATTAGCGTATTCGTATGTATCTGAAGAATGAAGTTCAATGTGGCTTTATGTCTCCGGATTTCCTCTGAAATAACAGTGATAATTAACTGTGCAAACAGTTTAAGATTCCTAGCTGCTTGTTTCCGTCCTGCTGCCAGACGTACCCTCAGAGCAGAGCTGCCCGACAGCAGCGTGCCCCTGCCCTTCGCCGTCGCAGTTCGCGGCTCAGCAAAGTGGCACAAACCTCCTGACATGGGCCAGACTCTGAACTGGACCAGCTGAGACGTGGGTAGATGTGCCACTGGCTCACCTCACTGCAGACTGTTGTTGACCAGAGGTTGCGTTTGATGAATGGAGATGTTTCAAAAAGTATTTTAAAACAGAGTTTGTTTTTAGCTATGTTGTATATGAGAAGTACCTGTAATGTAGGTTGGGTTTTTTTCTGGGTCATATAGTAGAACAGGAGCAATGGAGATTTTTTTACTAGTTTAAGGCAGTGTGAGATCTGGGTTTGAAAAGTCAATCTGCACACCTGACAAGTAAAGAAGAGTCATGAAACTATTCATAGAAACCTGCTTAGACCTGCTAAATGTAACTTACATACTCTAGAAGGAAAATGTTCCTTTTTAAGAAAAAAAAATGTTTAAAAGCAAAGGCTTTGATTAATCTTTCTGCATTTATGTTTATAGAATAGCATGTGCTGCTTACAAGAAAAAAATGCTATTGCTTTTTCTCAGTGAGAAACTTCTGACATCACACAAAATTATTCTGTCAGAATAAACCTGAGGCAAGAAATATGTTATCTTTCCTATAGTAAGGATTAGGGGAGAGCTTCCCAAAAGCTTTCTTGTATTTAACATCGAAAATGCGGAAAGCAAGACTGAGCGCTGGGAGCAGCAGACCCCTTAGTGATGATAGAGACGTTTTGGCCTACAGGAGCAGCTCACCAGCTATAAGGTTTCATCTGAGGAAGGTTTCAGGGAAGCGTGGGCAGACAACTCACCTTGGTTTCTGAGTGTGGAGTGGAAGCTGCGGACCCCCGGGCCTGCCACAGAGATGAAGAGCAGCTCAGCTGGGTGTACAGGAGGAGCGGCTCCCTGAGGAGGAGCTGAGTGAGGTGCCTCTGACATCGGTCACCCGTTGACCCCAAGGAAAGCAGCAACCATGGGGACCTCCATCCTTCTGCAGGGGTTGCTGCTCATCCCTTCCCTCCAGCCTGGGCATTCAGCGTGCACATGGATGGGGGCACCCAGGGGTACACCAGCAGCTCTCCAATCTCGGTAAAGGAGGGGAGCATGAGCTGCATCATGGAAGCGGAGGGCAGATCAAGAGGACACTTTAGGAAACATCTGCAGTGAGGAACTGCCAACTAGTGATTCAGGGTTTCAGGAGTGAGATCAAGCTGACCGTGGGCTGAATACCGCAGTCCCTAATACCAGACTAAATTCTGCCATGTTTTTCAGTGTGCATTGATTTCTCTCGTGTCAACAAAATTCGTATATGAAAAAGTCAGGGAGAAATTTGACCATACAGTTCTGTGCTCTTGGTTGTGGTTTTTTGGCTGTTGTTTCCTACTGGCACTGTAATTAGTTTTAATCTCAAATTCGTGCTTGCAGCAGGCAACAGGGCATGTTCTCACTCCGTATCGACAGACTCCCTCTGCTGGAAAATGGCTGTATATGTTATCAGGCCATTTAATAACAATAAGTGAAACAACTTGTAAGCAATTTATTTGGTAGCAAATTTGTAAATTTTATTTACACTGTCCATAGAATTGTAAAAATATTTTGACCTCTTCCCTAAACACTGGCATGTTTCTATGACACATACAGGCAGAAGGAGCTGGGAGTTAGTTCTTATCTTTGAAGTTGGACTCTGAACGCTCTAAAAAGCTACAAGGCTTGCAGTAACCTTGTAATGCATTAATCCACTGGGTAAAGTTTTATTTTCTTTCTTCTTCTGTAACTGGAATCTAGCCTTGAATATTTCCCCTCCATAGTCCTAAAGAACCCTCTCTTCTTGACTTCTTCATCATGGATGGCAAGAGTCTACCACTGACTTCACACAAGCACCTGGATACAACATGTTTGACAAGTTGACTTCTTTAGCAGCCACTTTTGAATGCACTGTTAAAAATAAATGGAAAAGAGTGCTAGCAAACAGGATTTTGATGCAAGAATTCCTGTTATTTCCTAGGACTTTTGAGAGGTGTAGCTGATATATTTCCTTGAAAAGTTAAGATCCCTGGTCCAAAATATTTACTGAATCAATGATATTAAGGAAATAAGGATACTGTTATTAGATGAAGTCCTGTTATGATCAGAATAACTTCAGCAGGATCCAGACCAGACACAAATTTTTTTTTTTCCAGAAGAATATGGCATCCAACTGTATCTTTTTGCTTATTTGATACCAGACCAAAGAGTTTTGGGATAAGGTTCTGTGTTTGAAAGTACAGCTAGTGTAGCAGTTATGCCTGCTTCTCTCCATTCTCACTCCACATATTGGTGAATGCGTCTCAGATACCACCTATAGAAACAATCATCTCCAATGAGAGGAGTACTTGGTCCTCAGCCCCTTTCCTGAGGTCATCAATGAAGGCACCAACTACTCCACATGGTTTATCTCTGTCAAGCAGAGTGAGCCCGACTGACTGAACCCTTAAACATCGATCAGCAGAAGGTTAAAAAAACTGTTTGCTCCTTCTCTGCAGTGCCAGTTCTGAATTGTAGACATTGAAACACCCAGCTACTCGCAGCTCCTTCAAAGCACTGGTGTTCCCCTTTTCTGCTGAAACAGTCATATAAAGAAAGACATACACTGGCTGCAGCAGCTCCAGTGTGGCCCATCATCTTCACCTTTGGTCTTTCCATCAATGCAAAACTTCCCTAAAAACCGTTAAGGATGATATTGAGGATTCTCCCACCTTCTAGGCAGCATCTGATAATGTGGGATTACTGCAGCAGCTCCAATCACATATACTTCTTTCAAACATCAGCATTCAAGGTTTAGTCAGGGTCTGGAGAAGTTGATACATTAACGCCTTCCTCTACTCTCTACATCGCTTGTAACAGAAAATAAGGCCCTGAGAGTTTGTCACAATACCTCTTTGTGAAAGCTGTTGATGAAGTGAAGTTCTGTGCTGCTGCCAGTCCCCAAGTCATCGTAGCAAATAACAACGTGGATCTCAATCTTCCTCAATCAATTGAAAGGAATTTTTTATCAATCCTAAATGAGCTCAATTCAGAATTGCTTTTGATTAGGTAATCAAATTGCAATGAATAACCTGAACTAGTGATGAACATTATGAATGTTTGTTGGCCATATAGTTGAAAGCTAGATTATACTGCTGCAGGACTAAATTTGTTCCATTCAAAGGAGTTAAAGGAATGGAAAATCTGTCATCTGAAGAGACCTAATCTCCAGTTATGGATAGGTATAACTCGGCACACAGGAGAAGTAGTTCATGACAATTTTTTGGTACCCCAAGTTCTGGGCTAACCTGCAATTTCCACTCCTGCACAGGTGAGAGCAGCCCAAAGTTACTCTGTTCTCCCTGAGGACCTTTTATCACTGCTGGGACCATCAGTGCAAAGGCATGCCCTGACCGTTCCTCTCTCCCAGGCATAAACTTGAGCTAGCTGTGGGAAGGCTAACCTAAAATCATTCTAGTTTCTTTCTGGCAGCCAAAATTCTCTGTATAAGAGCCCTGAGGGAGTAGACCTGCTAGATTTAAAATGCTTATGTGAGACATTTATTTTGTGCTTACAGGAAGTGCAAAATATCAACTCTATTCATTGCATAAAGGTTTAGGAAGGGTTGTTTTCCAAAGGACCAAAACCTTAGCATCCATCCCATACAGTTGCAGGAAATGGTGTTCATGAATCCTTCTGCTCAAGCTTTGGAGCAAAAAGAGAGCTCCTTTTTGATACTTCAGAATCAGGATTAGGACTGATTCACCAGGCTGAGAGCTCTGTGTAAGGACTCAATGCACTTTCTGGTGAAAATTCATGTATGACTGTCACAAGTTTTGGTGGATCTTCTCTGTGCAGCAACTCTTCAGTTTAGAAATCTCATGAACTAAAACATTTCAACAAACATATAAGAAGGTTGAGAACACATCAGATATGGCAGAATACTGGTCTTTAATGCTTCTTGTATCACGCCTTTCTCCTATATTCTGTCTGGCCTGAGACACAAGACACAGCTGAGAGAAGTTGTCTTTTTCCAAAGTACAGTAGAGACTGGGCTAGGATTCAGAGGGATCTTCCTAATAGGAGGAATATCATCTGTCGATCCAATCTAAAACAACAGAGTAAATGAAAATAGACATCCTACAAGCAATGTTTTCTATGATGAGTAGGTTTATTTCAGCATTTGTTACCTAAAGCTCTGGTACAGCAATTGCAGGTGGGGCATTGTCTATCAAGTTTGTTGGATTTCGATATTCACTTCTCTCATTGAATGACTACATTTTGGCTGCAATATCCTTCTGGATGTATTTCAAGACCTGTTTGTTTTCAATGGTTTTGGCAGATGGCTGCGTAAAACCAAGGTCTCATGATTATGATTCATTTCTGTGTGAATAATTTTGGTTATCAAGTTTGATTATATCTCTGCATGATTTTATACTATTCATATGTACACTGAATGCATTCAGAGCCAGGATCGTGCTTAACCAAATAGGCTTTGTGCTAAAGAACAAAAAAGTACAGATGAACGTTTTCATTTTTTCATATTTAATATTAGGTTTCTTTTTTAATGGGTATTATGTTCTTGTTCAGTTATACACCATTGTTGCTTTGGTTTAGTTATGCGTTTAAATATTTCCGTTTTTTTTTTCCAAGGAATTAGTGTTGTGAGCATGTACATAAATATAGCTATTGCTTCATTTTGCCTTTGTGGGGTCTGACATTTTATATACTGGCATGTGGTATGTTAAAAAGCACCTCAAATTTAATGCATCCTCAAAACCATGCTGCAATTACACGCAAGCATAAATATTTTGCTTTGGGAATGCCCACCTAAAAGACGAGATAACCACACTCAACATCCTCTTCTCAGCCCTCTCAGAAAACACTGGGGTATAAGTGGATCTTGCTCTAGAAATGCTTGTACATACCGATGCCCTTACTTCCCACAGGAGCACTTTCTAGTCAGCCTGAAGCAGTGGGAAGGATCCACAGAGACAAGCATTGTACCACAGCGTGGTCTCCCACCTGTGAGACACAGCAAGTTTAAAATGTCCTTCACTGCCCTCTGAGTCACCTCCGCTTTCGATAGCCAGCCTGCAGTGGAAGTGTCCTGCTAGTTCCCCTCTGTTGTAAAATGGTTCCAGGTTTTCAACATTATCTATTAATTTGCATTTTGGCGAAGATATTTTTTGGTCCCTTTGTCTTTGCTTCCTGCTAACTGACCTCCTTTGTGTCCACAGTTCGGATTCTGATGCAACTTGTAGGCATCTCGTTCTTGGAAAGAGCAGAAAAAGCAAACATGTTTGCCTAGGAACGGGTGTGCGCGTGGAGAACGCCCACCGCCAGCCCAGCTGCTCTGGGAATGGGGCTGGAAATCAAGGCAGTGACTAATTCGTTATGTCAGTCACGACCGCTCTAGTGACCTGCTGTGAAAATGAAAACCCTCTGGAGTCTTTTTGACTGCTTGTACATCCCAATTCCACTTTCTGTGGAAACAGAAATACCAGCCATGCTATTCCAATCAGATTGCTCTTCAGATGACTGCCTTCCTTCCCAAATGCCCGATCCGTTATGGAATAATTGTTAATTTCTGTGATTAATGAATTGATTAATTAATGATAATGATTTCACTCCACCATGCAAATTTCAGCCTTTTTAAGTAATACTGTTGTATCAGACTATATGGGACTAAACTGGAAAGAGCTGCTGGTCCAATCAGTCATGATATGAAGCAAGAGGGAACACTTCCGAGTAAACAGTTTTTAGTCATTTAAGGAGGACAGTGTTGGAGGTGTTATGTGAAAGCTTCTGTTTCCAGAGTCACACCACAGGGCTGACGGGAAGGTTCAGAAAGGACGTAAGTACTTACAAACTCTCCCACTTGAGAGGTGGGGTTCAGTGACAACCACGGGAGCTGTTTGCAGGCAGACCAGCTAGGCTGCCTCGGTGGCAGCGAGGCTTGACTCTGCTTTGATGGAGAGGGCAAAGAGCAAGTGGGAGCCAGGCACACACAGGTTTTCTATTTTAGCCCCTTCTGGTGTTTTCTTTTCATCAGGTGGTGTACAACCAGCACGTTAGTCTCATGAATAGAAGCTTTTTGCAAATTCTGCTGGGATACAGCTGGGCCAGCTGAGTTAACCTGGGTGGGAAACAGGAGGAGGAGGCTGATGCTCGGAAATCCAGGCAAAGTTGGTGCAGCCATGGCATTCAGTTCTGAAGAGATGTGAGGGCAGGCTGCGACAAGAAAGGATGTATGTGAGAGGTTTTATCTGAGGACCTCAGGCATAGATGGCCATGTCCCTTTCTACCCAGGTCTATTGCAATGCAGTCTTCAAACTAAGGCTATTAAATAAAAGCCATCTGCATGGAAGTTTTGGCTGACAGAGGAACTTCATGAAAATTCAATCTGGATTGGGGAGGACAGAAACTATGCATAGGAACAACATTTTTCAGTCAGATTTATTAGTTTATAATATATGTTACTAGGCAAGAAGCAATTTACAAGCATCAGCAAGGGTTCAATTGCTTTTTTATATATCCCCCAGAGCCCTACTTAAAAAGAAAATCAATTCTTTAATGGAGATAAGTGTTACAAAGTTTTAAGGATATCCTAATCTTTTAAAAGGTTGAACATTCAAAATTAAGGCTCTAAAGTAAAATAAAAACATCTTTGTTAATTACAGAAAATCACAGGAAGAATACCCAGCAGACTTGGACTTTTATTCATGACTTCATTAGTCTTCACTCTTCTCTAACTGTATTATTCAAAGCTAGGCTTGAGGAAATTATTCCCAAAGAGGGTTCTTCTCTGCAGGGAAGACTTACATGTTGAAGAAGGGGGCATAGCAGGGTTGTGGGGGTGTATATGTGTTTATGAGCGTGTGTTTTTGGATGACTTTGCACGGCTCTGTAAATACATACATGCTCTTCTCTTAAATGAACACATCCACCACTGTCCTGCTGCAATGCTAAATTTGCCTGAAACCCTCTTACAGAGGTTAATTACTGACTTGGATCTTGCTACAGATACACTCCTCCTAAGACAAGGGTCACGTTCCTAATGGAAAAAGTAAAGACAGGAAGGTAGTACATGGTGTCAATTACGCAGCTGAATTTTACTTTTATTTTACAGGTTAGGGTTTATTCTAGCTAGCAGGCCTCTTCTAGTCAAAACAAAGCAAGAATGCTCCCTCTGCTCTTCAGGGGGAGTGTTAAAATTCCTTATCTCAATACATTCTAGCTGCCTGGGCATAAATATCCTTTCTCAATGCTTGCTTGTGATGGAAACTGTTCGTTGTGTTTTGCAGGTACAAGTTCGGAACCTTCATCTTCTTCTTGCCCTCTCCTTGGCTGTGCTTTCTCTCCCATTCTCTTGTGAGACTTGCTTTTTCTCAAATGCAATCTTTCCCTTTCTCTTCTCTCCTTCATGCCTTCAGGTTGCTAAAGGAAAGAAAAAAATATCAGGGAATTAAAAGTGTCTCCCACAGGGACGCAAACTCTCATAATTTTATTTCATTTATAATGTATTATAAAATATTCCAGTCACCTACCTCAGCAAGATCAACTTTAACATGATGGGCTCAAATTCAAGGCCCCAGCCAGTCTCCCTGAAACTCAGCAAGAGGCAACATGCTTTTGACTATACTTTTATGTATGGCAGGAGTGTCACCTGCCCAGAGGACTTGAGAGGGAGAGCAGACAGGAGGGCAAAAGGCAGGGGCTCTGAGATTTCAGCCCAGACTCCGTGTTTCTGTCCTTTCACAGATGCTCCATCTCTATGTGCCTGAAGGCTGTTCAGTTCTAGCTGCAAAGACCTCACTGAAAACAAGTGCTGAAGGTCATGGAGTGTTCTCAGAGCAACGTTTATAAGAAAAAAGCAGTATGCAGGAAAGGAGATGAAATGGGATTGCCTTTCCACCACTTTTCTTTCCTTTTAACCTATGTGGTCATGGTGGATTGAATTGCATCCACAGAGCTCTGAATGCAAAAAAACGCTCCATTTGGAGATACAAGTTTAAGCCCATTCTCCAATCTCCTTTCAAATCTCTAACACCTATCACTCAGTTCTTTGAGATTCTCAAGCCCTTCTTGACATCTCCCAAGCTTCAATGGTGACTGAGAGAACGACAATAATTTGGTCTACTTGAAAGGTAGCTTAAAATACAGCCCAGCACACCTCACTCCAGATTACAGAAGGGTACCATAATCCAGGTTTTTAAGTGGAACTGAAGCCATGTTTAGAGCATTAAGCTCCTTATACCTATCACACAATTATTACACACTCACAGGCTTTCTAGCTGTAGGCACTTTTGAGAAATTATAAATGATAAACCAGACAACCACTGGAGAGGGTTGGCACATGAGGCTATGTGAAGTTCCAAATGAAACAAATTCTGGGTAGTTCCTAAAGGGGAAAAAGAAGATTAGAGAATGCACTTAAAATCTTAACAATGGCATAACAGCGTTGTCATCACCGTAATTCTGAATATTCTTAGAGGACTGGGCATGCAAGGACTGTAATTGTGGGACTGATCATGTAATGATGCTGCTTATTGAAAGGAGATTTTTTTTCTCTCTTGTTGCTGCACAGCACAGAAGGCCTGCAAAAAGAACTGAAAATTACTTCTCCATGCAAACTGTCAGCGTCAAAAAACTGAAAAAAAAAAAAAAGGAGACACTTCTTTCTGTTGTTATTTGGTTCTAATGTCAAGAGTTATTCAACTACAGCTTTTTCAATAGTGTGACTGAATTTGATTGTGTTCTTCTGATACTTAAAAGCAAGTTAGGGTTTATTACTCTTCCTTCCACTGTACGATACACTAGGTATTATGTATCATAATAATAAAAACATGTTAAAGTGTCATAGATAAAAGATTGTTATTGACTACTTGATCAACACAAACCATAGAAAAATGCTCATGCCTCAGGACAGAATGATGGGGAGAAGAGAGAGATGAAATGGGGGGAGAATCCCCTGCTGGGTACATGACCTTACAGCAAAAATATGTTCAGCCACTTATAGTAGTGGCTGGTGCTGCAGCTGTGTGGCAGCACTGAAGGAAGTAGATGGATGGAGTCCCGAGGGGTAGTTATCTTACAGATAACACTGTCTATGGTTAAACCAGGTCAGCAGCAGTGAGAAAGAGAGCTGTGTCTTATGGCAGAAGTGAAGCAAACCTGGTTTTATATTGTCACGCTTTGTTGGCACAGCCGCAGAAACCTCTGAAAACATTGCCACAGCCAGTGCGGTGTCTCATTTTGAAGATACACATTTTTTAATGAGTCTAGATGGTAACACTACTTCAGGAATTCTCATACTAATGATACTGCCACTCGAACTCTTGAGCCGCTGTAAGGACTACATAATTTGAGAAATTCTGATTCAAGTTTATTTCTGCTCTTCCCCCAGTAAAACTACAACAATTCAACAATTACACCAGAGATAGTGCTAGACAGCTTGTTGCTTGGATTTTTTTCTTCTGAAGTGATCTTAAGTTGGTTGTTACCTACCAAAGAAGCTGAGCGTTTGCTTTTGAGATGCAATTGCTTTTCAAAGGACTCTGCAAATTCCTGGATGGAGTTTGATCTTGTCTCTGGGCATGAGCTGTCTGCTGAAGGTGTTCTGCTTGCCTTCCTGTGGCAGTGGCATTTGACATCTTGGTCTTCTTGAAATTCCTTGGAGCCCTTGAGGTGGCCTGAAGATGAGCCTTTGGCAGAAGCATGAATTCGTGTTGTATGGAGGGAGGAAAGCCTGGCCTGAAAAACAAGAAGTCTTTGTTGAGTATTGAATATTAAAGCAGAGCCTACAGGGCAAATTCTTTCTGCCACAGAGTGCTCTCTGAACAATGGTGCAGAATGAAGGACTTTGCCCAGACTCCTGTGTCTTTCCTCTTATGTGCAGGAGAATCGCATTGCCAAGAGCTTGCTTTCCAGACGCAACAGCAGAATTTACTTTTATTCCTGTTTTTGAGTATCTAAGTTTTGGTACCCAAATGAGCATTTCAAATGTAAAGTGTGCTGGGTCCTCTTAGTGCCCACTGACACTAAAAGGAACTGGGACCCTCATAACCTCAAAAACTCAGACCTCACGTCTGCCAGCAGGTTCTAGACAGGAGTCCCAAAAAGCAAAGACCCAGCCTTTTGTGGCCAGATAAGCCAGATACGGGGCTTGTCCCACAGGTGATCCAGGGCTTATCAGATGTTTGAGTTCATTTGAGTGTGACAGCAACAATTTCTAGCCCAGTTGTGCCAAATTTTCTGCATGGCCTACATGCAGACAAGATGGTCTATTGGCCAGGTCTGAATTTTCTGCTGGTTTCCTGGGCACATTTGTCCTGAACTGATGAGGGAGCACCTTCAGGGCACTGAGGGACACATCCCTACCAGAGAAATGTAAGAAACAGACTTCCTACAAATATATTTGTAGGGCTAAAGTGGGGAGGGAGTAGATAGTTGTTTCGTTTCAGTGCAGTTCAATTTTGCCAGGCCTGACATGCAGATAAAAGCTATTGATCTGCATCAGCTGTGTTTAATTGAATGTCTGTAAAGGAAATTAAACTGATACAGAACTGTTGTGTCCTATAGAGTCACATATTGCTGGTTTTAGAAATAGACAAACCTGTAGAAGAGATGGGTGAGAAGGCCACCACATATAGTCAGGTGTGCCCAAACCCTGCCAGCTGTTGATGCTTTTTCAGAGTGAGTAGCTGAACACTGGTAAGATGCAGGCAGTGAAAATTGTGAGAGAGAGAGAGAGAGAGATGGGAGGTACCGCAAGTAAGACCTCCGCAGGTGTCAGGTTTGGGCACTCCAGGCACCCAGCTGCTGCATGCATGTTTGAACGCGTATTCGTTTTGTATAAGCCTGATGCTAAGCCTTCAGCCCCTGAGTCACCCTGAGAAGCTCTGCTGGCTTCAAGGGAGCTGTGACTGTTTTAACCACTGAAGGCCTATCCCACAGATCCTGAAATGCTTTATAAGAAAATCCAGGAGAAAACCCTACACTCAGAGTAGGGTTTGTTGGAGGGGTTGGTGGGCTGTTTGTTTTGGTTTTTTTAACAAACAACAGTGGAAAGCTAAACCAGCTTGATATAACGGCCACATGAATCTACAAACCTTGGACTGCAAGGGAGCTTAAACATCTCCTATACACATTTTCGTTTACTCTGGCCCAGATGCTGTGATAAATGTACCAGCACAACAGGCACCTATGCAACCTTTCTCTGAATAGTGAGGCTGTCCATCCATAGGGTTGTGACTACATCACATTAGACAGGCTTGATGAGAGGTGCTAAAAATAACAAATCTTACACCTGACAAAAGTACCTAATACCAAAGAGTTTTCAGATCATATGGTACTGGTTCAATTTCTTTTCCAGACATAAGCTTACTTCAGTAACTAGTATTATGGACTGCCTCTGAGAGTAGTGGTAATGATTTCTGCCATACTGTTTTTATGTTGGCTTCAAATCAATCAATACAGCTGTAATTTCTGTAAGGTCATATTGTATTGTTATTTTCAAAACCATCAAAGCAATCATATTGTGCTTGAGGGACAGGAGTACACATGCCATGTCAAGCTGGACAAGCTAAATGTCTTCTGTGTCACTTTAACAGCATCAACATATATTGTTTCCTGGAAATAAAAATTATCTCGCACTAAAAATCACTGGTCTTTGTTCTTAGAAGGCTTGGGCAAAAAAGCAGGAGGACAGCTGAAACAGAGCATGGTATTATATCAATCCTGTTTTGCCATGTTTGTAAATGCTTTATTTTACTAAGACATTGCTTTTTAATTTCCCTCCACAGATAGAATTATAGTTAAGCCCTTAACAGAAAGATTGCAGCTCACATACTGACATGGCAGCCGTGGTCCAGAAAAGGAACAAGCCTTCCTCTGGAATAAGGGTAAAGCTACCTGTGCAATCACACTGCTGTGACTGTGCCCCTCTCACAGTGCCTTTGCATGACACATGTCACCATAGGTAGGAGGACAGCATGCTTGGGCATGTCAGCGTGCTGCTGTCTTACGGACACAGCCCTACAGAGGACAAGAGCTTTACACAACTGCTCAAGCACGGACATTTCATGGCTTATAACTAGCACAGTACATTAGTCGTCTTTTATTTAAGATTGACTCCGTGGAGAACTGAAAGAGTCATAAAATGAAGCTCAGGGATGATTTCAGATAAAATCCATGTGGCTTTCTTCCCGTTTCTTAGACTTGATATATGCATTTAATACATGTGTTACCAAATTGATGGCTTGGTAACATTGTAAATCAGAACGGCTGGAGACTGCTTTAAGTTACGCTTCCCCTCCTGAAGTCTCAGCAGCTGCTGGCAACAGAGATTGCCTCTGTATCTGTACACTCTGGTGTCCACCCACCACCGCTGTTGTCCCTTGCCAAAAGTCTCTGAGCACAGCCCCAGTATCTGCTCTTGTCCTTGCCCCCGCAGCTGGCTCGTGCCTACATCTGGTCCCTCTTTAGCAAACTCCCCTTGGTCTCTGGCTCCCAGGATCTGCCCTTGAGTAGTTCTTAAACTGGAGAACTTGGGAGTAGGTGAAACAAGGGCAAAGGCATGGGAAGGAGGAATGATAAACGCTTCCTTGTATCAAAATGGGGAATCTTTGCTACGTGCTGGGAAAGCCAGAAGTACCAAGCATGCTCTTAGGGGCTGTTTCTACCTTCTTTTAGTACTCCCTTTTTCTGCTTGAGCTTTTATGTAAAGGTCAGTCATGCTTAGCGTATCTGTTTACACAACAGCTAATCTTTTGCTAATTGACCAGCTAAAACACACAAAAAGCATGCAAACAAAAATACCTCAAGAAATAGATGTCAATATAATTTGCCTATTCTCTTTCTCAGTTTCTGATGGAGGCAAGATAATTGCTTCCATCTTTTGGGCTTGATCTGAGGGCTTGCACAGCTGTCAGTAAGAAAATTAATCTTCAGTGTGTCAGCACGAGCGTTCATTGTTTGCTGAAGTTTACACAATGACCCCTGTACTTTAGGGATATTTTGGCACATCTGACATTCAGATGCTATCTGATATCTTGCTGTCCTTCCAAGAAGCGTATAGCCAAGCATATATTCCTTTAAAACGTTTTGGCCTAGGCTCTAACTGATCTGTAGTAACAATATTGTCGTAGATGTTCAGTCTGACTTTAGTTTAGATTAAATGTTGGTAACTTCAACAGCAGTCAGCTGTTCTGCTCCTGCTCTCAGCTGTTTTTGCTGTGACCAGCAATATCTACTTGAACATAGACATATTTGTAGGGTTGTAAAACTCTTATCAGTGCTTCTGTGCCTCCTGGCTTTTCCCCACAACAAAATGTCTGGGAGGTAAGAAACTGTCCTGAACCAAAATGATGGAGGATAACTAGAATGTGTCAAGGAAAAGTCATAGCGAGAGGCTTCATAAAGGGTATCAGTTAACGTGTCTGAAGTTTGCCGGGGAACAAGTTAACTAAAGGAGATGAAAACACATGACTTGGCTCTGCCCAGGCAGTTTTCATATTCCATATTGGCCCACAGCAACATATACAGCTCCGACGCTTTTCAGGGGAGCAGGGTTGCAAGTTTTAGCCTTTCTTGCCAGTGACCCAGTGAAGGATGAATATAATTTTGTGTTCCCCTCTGCAAAATGGGAACGATACTAGACAAAGAATTTTGCGAAGCTCATCTCAGTGATGCTTGTGGGGTATACCAAGATACTGGGAAAAAAGATAATGAAAATGGTTGTTAGTTTGGGAGTTGTTCTACAAAACCTCATTCGTATTTTGGGGGGCTCTACCATGATAGGATGCCACAGGAGTTTATCATTGTGTCTGAGGTGAGAACAGTGGCTTGAATGTCTTTCTACAGCACAGGAAAAACTACAAAGACCAACATACCAATTTGGAGCTGAAAGCGATTTCCAGTGTTACACAAAACCACCTTTTGTGCTACACTGCTAGCGTTTTGCTATGTAATACCAAAACCCTCCTGATGTAGATGCAGTTCATGTGGGCAGGACTGCACTACTGCTGATGCACCGTATACCAGCTCTGGCTATGAGGCAAAGTGTGCTGGCAGCGCTGTTTTGGCAGTACTCTTGTATCTGCATGAGAAGCTTTTGCCAACAGCTGTGCCAGTCAGAACCCGCTGACTTGATTTTCACCAGGACAGCAGTATTATCTCTGTTTACAATGTTGACACAGAAGAAAGGGAACACTGTGATGTGCTGTGGAGGTATTAACTTACAGAAGAGACGCAGTCTGATCTCAGTCATTAATCCTCCTGATTAATAGCACTGTTCTGATAAAATGAAGACAGTATTTAACTAACACTGATAACTGTTTTGAATCCTACAGTAGTTATCATTTGTAATAATCTTACAGTAGTTATCATTTATAAGAACTGTGTAAAAAACACACATCCAGGTGCAATAGTAAGTTGTTGCTCTCAACAAAGAGATGCCCTTTCTGAAGGCATTTCTAAGGAATTATTAGTGCCCATTTGTTTAGATTCCAGATTTGGTTTAAGACAACATGTTTTAGTGCTCTTCACTATCAACTAGTCAGAGATTTCCAAATAAGAAAGTTTCCTCTCAAGATTTATTGCCAAATCATAAAATCTCCAAAAAAGTCTTCCCATCTCATTCCTCCAGTCAATTTCCGTCCTTGAGAAATAAAGCAGTTGCAATTTATATCTCTTGCTAGAGCAAGACAAATTTGTGTGGAGCATTAATGTAAAGCCTGACATAATGAAGTGTACAGGATAACTTTAGCTGATTGAACAATAATGTCAAAAGTCACAGTCTTCTCTTTCTGTCAGCTAACTAAATCCACGTTCTAGGTGTTGATTCAGGGATGCAGCTACAGTGAAGTATGTGAGTAGATATTAGCTAAGTATTTAAATTGGTTTTGAACAAACTGAATTAAGTACATACTTCAAACGAAATGTCACAAATACGCACACAAATATACACAAACGTGTTCAGCAGCTTGCTGAATAGACAGAGATTTAAAGGACATTCTTACACTTCGGTCTGTATTGGAGCCTGAAGAAACCACATATATGTAGACCTCTGAAGGACAAAAATCGAAACACAGTCAAATTAATTAAAAAAAAAATATTAATAAACATTCTGTTTTCAGGCATTCTGATGGAATTCATCAGCACAGCTGTAGCTCAGAGTCTGTCTTGCAATCTGTGACTAGGGTGAAATATAACCGTAAATAACAAACGTGGCTGATCGGTTCAAAATTAATGAATGAAGGGTAAGTCTCCAACCCCTCCAAGAATTCAGAGGGGTGAGGTGGTTTTGGTCAGTTTTGGTTTTCTTAGTCAAATTTTTTGAAAACAAAAATTCCCACAGCTTAGAACATAGCAGCTCTAGTGGAGGAGATCTTGCAAGGTGAAAATACAGCACGGCAGAAAAAAACAGTCTGGAAAAGATTAGCTGTTTCTCCCTGGTTGAATAGCATTTGCTTTGTTGCTGCCATAATGATCTAAGGATATAAGTGAAACATGGTTTGTAAGGAAACATAATATCTTTGGTAGGCCAACTGATGTAGTGGGAAAAAAAAAGAGACAGGTTTGGACCACCTACACATTTTTTTAGGGCTGAAATAAAAGCAACAGCCTTCGAGTAAAGAGCAGACTGAGAACAGCTGCTTTCAGTTTAACTTCATTTTGATAACCAGTTAGACAGTTGTGAGCTACCTTAAAAAACTGCCTCTGCGTGTGAGCCCTGCCCCTTTGCCAACTATTTTGTAGGTTTAATAAAGAACATGCTTCTCCCTTAAAATCCGACTTCACAGTATAACATTATATGTTGCATCCTTATTTTCAGAGTCAGATGTTTTAAACAAGGAGGGACCGTATCCTCTATCTTAAATTAGAAGTTACACCTGCAAACAGCTAAATCCCAGGGATTAACACGTACAACTTCCCGGAGACGGTGTAGTTGCAGAATTAGGTTGAAATCCTGTGAATACATACAGGCTTATTTAGTTTTAGACATGAGAACTGACTCATTGAAGCCAGTGTTTGTGTGCCAGTTTCTGAAATGTTTTGATCTCTGCCGGGTCATGGCTAGCAGACAGAGCAACACAGAAAGACATAGTTAGGCAGTTATTGTACCATTCTCCTTTCATTTCTGGTCCTATCATTGCTTGCCCTGGAACCTTCCAGTTTTCTTGTATGCCAAAGGTGCAGGAGGCCTGACTCCGGCAAGCAGCTAAGTTCAAAAAGCAACTAGCTGCTGACAGTAGGCACTGAGCTTACTCAGCGAGGTGTACCATACTCATCCTCACTGATCTCTGGGGCTATGCCCCTGGGAATGTCTCTTAAATTTATACATAAATCGCACGCAGAGAGAAAACCGCACACAGCTCTTACCGGGAGGGAGGCTCTCCTTTCGCTAAAGAGTCGTGTCTGACGTTTCTTGTGGCCTCTACCCTCTTTCTCATTCTCATCGATCAAGTTGTGGCCCCAGAAACTGCTCATCCATTTTGCAAAGGAAATATCATCATCCTCTTCATATTCCATGTACAGATCCTTCAAACTTGGGGGGGTGTCTCCCAACCAGACAAGAAAAAGCAAGGTCAAATGCCACCACCAACCTAACAGCCTCACACTCTTCCGCCAACAAGACGAGATGCGGCTTCAACAAAAAAATCCCCCACAACCCACCCCACCGCAGCCCTAGGCACTGTCTAAACATAAAGTCAATCCTTTCTCATCTCTTTTCAACAAGGTTTCTTTTAACCTTTCCATTACAGCGATGTCCAATATGACACTGCCACAGGGGGCTGGTGGGAAGGGAAATTTGTTGTCTCCTCACTGTGTGTTGCTGTTGAGTGCACCAGCTGTCAATACCGATGGAGAACTGCCCACAGTTACATGCCCGGGAGGTGTGTACACGAACCCAAAGTAGGCTTGTGATTTTGAGAAGCAGAATTGACGTATTGACGGTGGTCAGAAGCTGGCACCGCTGCTTGCAGAGTCCCGACTGGCTCTGCGGGAGGGAGG